TCCGAACCCACACCCACAACCGACCCAGCGACCACCCAAACGCGCAAGAAACAGGCCGATCAGCTCCGCAAGCTCATCATACCCAGCCTGCCCTCCACCATCGTAGCCCTCTTACCCCCAACCATCCTCCGCGAATCTCCTCACCACATATGCACACTTCTCCGCGAGCACATCCACGACGCCAACATCGAAAACCACGAAGTCCTCGACGCGGAGGCACGATGCAACAAACTTCTTCCTGGTACTGACTTTTCTACGTTTATCAACACCCACATCGCAATCCGTCAAAAGATGATCAACGCCAATTACCCCAACATAGACCAAGAACGCACCACCGTCAACTACATGATACAAGGAATCAGCAACCACCCCGACCTTGGACTCGTTGCTGTCGTGCTAGCGGGCAGCCCACCCGCCTCCATCCGCAAATTCACGAACCATGTCCGACAGGTCATGCTGATGCAGAACAAGCAACAAGAAGCCAGCGCACCGCAACCCGTCTTCCCCAAACCTGCCCCAGCCCAACAACCACCGCCGCCCCAATACACTCCACACCAGCTGTACCAACGACCCCCGCAGAACCAGTACACGCCTCGCCCACCCTACCAATCCCACCCACAGCAACGCCGTGCCCCCCGCCAGCCCTGGGAACCCCGCAACCACCCTCGACCCAAAGGTTGGGCCGGCAAGTGGTGCAGCCATCATGGCAGCATCACACACGACACCGAGCAGTGCTACACTCTGCAAGGCAGACGCAGACAGCCATATGGAGCCAACTGCCTCTACGATACCGACATGCAGCAACAGGGGGACCACACCACCACCCCCACCACACCCAACACAGAAGACCTCCACCAACGCATAGCACAGCTGGAACATGCCCTAGCCATACACACTGCAGACACCAGCCCCCCCGGTAAGACACATTTTTTCCTCGATTCCGCAGCGCACCCAACTCACGTCACCAAACCCCACCCCAACCTCAAACCCACAACAGGCAAACTAACCCTCACCGCTACGGGCCAACCCTGCCGGATCACCCACCATGGAAAGACGACGATCTCAACGACGCCTAAGCACGTCACCACCAACACAGTGTGCGCCCCAAAACTCCGCCAGAACCTCCTCTCCGTCCACGACCTAACGCGCTACGGCCATATCACCTTCACCAAACACCACGCAACGCTGCACGACCCAACACCACTGCCCCCGGCGATCCTCACAGCCAAATTTCATCAAGGTTTATACCGCCTCGACACTCGCTCACCGCACCTTCCTCGCCAACCGGCCATAGGACGTGTGCTAGCAGCCCGAGGCACACCCTACAAGAAAACAACCAAGACGTGCAATAAACCACCACCTCCACCAACCCCAGCGCGTACCAAACAACTTCCACCATCTTCTCCCCGACGCCCCACACCGCCCCAAACCACCCCACCATCAAAACCAACCAAACTGCACCTCCCTCCACGCACACCGCAACAAATCCGACAACAAGCGCACGAACCAACAACATCGCCAAGACCCAACGCACAACAAACCATGCACGAGTGGCACCTCAAGCTTGGACACCTTCGTCCCCGATCCATAGCAACAATGGCCAAGCACGGCATGCTTCCCATCCTACCCAAAGCACTCCAACACAACTCTCCCAAGCTCTCGTGCGCCGGCTGTATTGACGGCAAAACCGCAGCAGCCCCACACAAGCGCGCTGTACACACCACAACAGCCGGACAAAGCCTCTCCTTCGACGTCTGCGGACCGTTCTCCCTACCGTCAATGCAAAAGAACAAATACTTCATGACGGTGCTCGACACCGCCACACGATACCTGGTCGTAGCATTCCTCAACAACCGAGCACAAGTACCAGCCAACCTCACAACAGCCATAGAATCAATCGCAAGCTCAACCGGACTATACCCGCACACTGTAACGACCGACAACGCGCGTGAGTACACATCCAAATATATGCAACAGTTCCTGGCACAACGTGGCATCCAATTCAAACCATCCACACCCTACACCCCCCAAGAAAACTCCTTAGCAGAAATAATCAACCGCACCATCATGAACGCTGCCCGTGCAGCCCTCACCCACAGCCAACTTCCCCAAGCGTACTGGGAGGACGCAGTACGTGACGCTGTATTCAAATACAACATGAGTTACCACCATGTGGTACAAAACATACCACACACAATCTGGCATGGTGCACCTCCAGCCATCGACAAAATCTTCATATTTGGCCAACTTGGCTCTGTCCCCATACTCAAAACGCCGAAGCATAAGCTGCAAACGCGCGCCCACACCGACCGTTACATGTACGGCATGGACGTCGCACACTTCAAGGTATTCAACCTCAACACGCGCAGCTACCAAACTGTACGCACCAACAATTTTCACCCATACACCAAGCACTCCGACCCCACGCGCACCACCAACGCCGCATTCGCAGCACAGCAACAGCGGAGCAGCATCCCGCTAACCATCACCCCAACCACGACTCCCCCCCGGACTCTCCAACAAGCAAACAAATACCCGGACGCGCGCGAATGGGGCACAGCACACAATGCCGAACTGGACCAACTCGATCTCACACAAGCAATAGATTGGAACGTGAGCGAGCAACTCCCGCCACGCAATGAGATCATACCGATGACCATGACGTACCGCTACAAAGCGATAGAAACCAATCCCACCAACGTCAAACGCAAAGCCAGATGCTCCGTCCGGGGCGACCTCATGCTCCCAGACATCCACTATGACCCACACAAAGTCGCCACATTCATGGCAGAAAAGACCACAGTACGAATCGTTTTCGCACTCGCAGCAGCGCACTCCATGCACCTGGAACACTTCGACATCACAGGAGCGTATCTGCACGAAGCATACGAACACGACACCCCAGTATATATCTGGCAACCCAAGCGTTTCGACGGCTCATACAAACACGAGGCCGCAGCCGGGCAACTGAAAGTGTAGTATAATCACCCCCAACGACGAGGGGGGTGAGTACTGACAGTTCGGAAAGACCCCGATCGGCGGGAAGACAGAAGCACGGCCCACCCACGGTACCGAGCACGGGCTCGAGGTAGCGGTGGTAGAGCGAGATCGGGGAGGACGCGCGCACGCGCGAGCGGTTCTACGCCTCGACGCCCCGGAGCGGTACTGGGTGACGATCCAGTACCGACGGGCGGAGGCGGAGCCGGCTCGTGGGCGTGCTACGCGCGTCCTCAACCCGCGCGCGGTGCTACTTCTAGGTAAAACGGACGGAAGTACCTAAGAGTGAGCGGGCGGACCAAGGTGGAGGATGCTTGACAAGTCCCTCCTTGTCGTCCTCCGACGCCGGCGGTCCGCTCATATTTAATGTACATTGTAGTCTATCATAACTCTACAGTAGTGCCGGTCTACTGACACTGTAACGATGTCAGCCGGCGGGGATGACATTCCACGTGTAGTACGCGTCCCGTACACGCGGAGGGCTCGTGTGTGCGCGCATGGCTGTAAGGCTCGTCGCCTTACTGTCCCTGATCCGATCCTAATCTAATTTCCGTTTGGGGTTATACCACAGAAAGGAAACGTCTATGGAACACCACCTGCCGCACACACATACACAACAAAACTCCACGCGCACCTCAAACAGCACGGCTACAAGCAAGCCAAATCCGACCCCTCGCTCTTTTACAAACGTACCCAAAACGACGTCATCCTCATAGCCGTCAGTATGGACGACTTTCTGGCAGCCGCCAGCACACAAGCCCTGAACGACGACTTCCACCAAGTACTACAGTCCAAGTACAAAGTCAAACGACTCGGGAAACCCACGTCATACCTCAACTGGAACGTATCCTACACCCCGGAAGGCATACACCTATGCCAGCGACAACACATCCAACATGTCGTGCAGTACATCAACATGCAGGACGCCGCACCACACCCGACCCCATACGCTGATGGAGCAACAGTAGACCCACCCAGACCCGCAGAAACACCGGACAACACCATCAGCGAACGCTACAGAAAGGCACTAGGCGAAATCCGATACATAGCAGACTGCACCCGCCCAGACATTAGCTACGCCACAGCGGCACTGGCACGCGCAACACACTGCCCCACGCAACGCCACTGGAACTTCCTCAAGCGCACAGTCCGGTATCTGTTAGGAACATCAACACATGGCATCCTACTACCACGCAACCCAACAGCACCGGCCCTCATAAGCTATGCGGACGCCGATTTCGCCAACGACACAGTATCCCGCAAATCCATCTCCGGAGCAGTCTCCCAAGTATACGGCGGCACCGTGCACTGGCTGTCCAAACAACAGCCTCTCGTAGCACAGTCCACATGCGAGGCTGAATACATCTCTGCAGCCGAGACGGCCCAAATAACGGTATGGATCCGCAACCTGCTAACGGAACTAGGTTACCGCCAACACCAACCCACCACATTGTGCATGGACAACGCTGCAGCCATCACCATAGCACGAAACACAGCGCCCACAAAACGACGCAAATGCATAGATATACGATATCACTTGCTCCAAGACCTCACCCACCACCACGCAATCACCCTTAAGCACGTAACAAGCCGGCGCATGTACGCCGACATCATGACCAAACCGCTGAAGCCAATGCCATTCAACGAACACCGTGCCAACCTCCGCGTCCAACCCCCATGCCACCAAGTACAGTTTGACCTCACCCCCACCGTCATAGGCCCGCAAACCGCGCGTCAGGGGGACTGTGATGACCCACAAATTGAAGATCGTCGACGCGCGGTTCACGGGCATGACACCCCAACCGCCCTGATGGTCCTGTAGCAGGTGATGACCCACAAGCCAGCCACAGACTAGACCACACCATTTGAGATAGGTAGCAGCGCCAAGACCGAATAAAAGCGCGCCGTCGGCCGCCCCGCCGCCGCGGGACGACCGGAGGCACGAGACTTACTTCGTCACACAGCTCTAGCAGTATCGCTAGCAGCTCTGACAACATGTCTTGTCGCCCGGAGGAGGACAACAATGCGCCGCAAGCGCCGTCATCGCAACAAGAACCCAAAGTACCTCCGCCCAGCCATTATTCGCCCTCGCACACAGCGGTCCACTCCTTGGCGCGTGCTTCTCTCGTTCGGGAAAGACTCCGACTTCCTTGTATCCGTAAATATCACGAAGGCCTTACTGCTAAACAGTATACTTCCATTTTTTATACAGGAACAATTGAAATATAGCTTCGGTGGCCCTTATCGAAGGGGACTGAAAACAAGAGGACGCAGTACGCAACTGGAAAGTATTGATTTGTTCGGGTTGGCTTGAGAGGGAGGATCGGATCCGTCCAAAAGGGATGCCATGTTGAGATGACAGTGTCAGAATGCGGGCGCCAGGTTTGAGGAGGAAGGTGTGGCTCGCTTTGGGATTAGGGGATGGGGAGGTTGTCGGCGAGTGGGGGTGCGAGTGGGTGTACAGTTCGCAACATGTTCCAACTGGGGTGGAACCGCCACGGAACGGCAGTGATGGAGTGCAAGAGTGGTGGGGACAATCAATTTTTGAAACTATCATACAATGGTAAAGTGTTAGAGTGCTATTTTCTGGATGCACCCACTCATCGTACGGTTATGCATTTGCCAGGCTCGCTCATCTCGGTTGTCGATATGTTTAGATATGTCGCCAGAAGAAGAAATCTACGGGCAAGTACAATGAGTATGAACGTTCCCTGGGTCGCTCAAACTCTCTCTGCTTTCGCTTACCCCGCAGGATTCTTTCTTTCATCTTTCAATCGCGCTATTATGTAGTCCACTCTCTCTCTATCTTTGCCTGCCTGTGAGAGAGGTGGCTCCCCGCTTTCCATGTGCTTGCAGTGCTATTCTGGTTCGTTATAGTGCCGTAATCGGCCCACTGACACAGGGTAGCACTATATCGCGACCCCCCCTGTACACTGATCACGGTAATTAGTGGGGACCGGACTAATTCTGAACCTGGGTTTTAGAGGCCGTGACTGTGAATAGTCCGGTCCTGACTATTTATGAATCTAGACTATTTACGGTGTGATTCTTAAATAATCGGGACCAGACTATTTTACCAGTGCAAAAATACTCTAGATCAGTTGACAATCTGATGAAAGGACAACTTGTCACGCGATTGGCTCACCGTTGAAATGATTGCGATGCTTCGCGATGATCGCTTGCAGGGGCAAAAACAGTTGCTTCTCCTCCCACTGCCCGTTGACATTCAAGGACATCCCAGTGCGTATCATCGCTTTTCGTGCATATGTCAGACCGGCCTTATCGGGCTGCGCATTGACATCCTGGACTGCTTCAGCGGCCATCTGCAAAAAGAATCTTTGCCAGGATTTTTCAACTTTCCACTCGCTCCCTCACCACTCCCCATCCATTCCCCTCTTGCCATTAGACCCACTTTATACGCATCCCACCTGCTCCTCCATGCGTCTTTAAGTTTAGATATGACGAACGAATCCGCAGGTTGTACCAGATCAGTGGCGTTCGCGGGAAGCTTCCTCAAGACAGTGTTGATGTCCCGAAGGCATTTAGACACTGCTTCAGTTTCAATGTGCCCCAAGCAGTTGTCAACAAAGAGGGTCCGATTCCGGCCGTAGATGTCCCTCCTGATTGCCCTCGGCTCCGCAAGCCACTCGACGAACACACGACCATCCGTCCATCCCTTACGACCTGAGCGATAGCAGACACCGGTAACATCGTCCGGTACACCTCGTATCGGATAAGAGCAGTTCGGATTCTGGAAAATTAGCATCGGCGCCTCTATCCTTGCATGAACACCACCCGTTACTCTTACCATCATAGTTATCCCTTCATCGCCGGAAACAACATTTGCATATTTCACAGACTCCTGGCCACGTAATCCAATAGTTCTCCCGTTTGTCCATATTAAACAAAAAGTGCGTTTCGTCCGCGTTCTCGACTAAATCTTCAACTAAGTCTCCAGCCATAAACCCTCGCTTCAGAGTCCCAAGATGGTACGTCACAATCTTTTCTATGAACAATTGCTTGTCGGGACTTACGGAAAGGTTGCCAGCCTGGCGTCTTATGACCAAGTCATGGGCAGCCATGAACGTCTGGACCCATCTTACAGTAATTCGTTCGGCGATTGGGGCTCCTCTGACGAGCGTGGTGTGGTTAAAAGAAGCGTCAGGATCTGCCGTTTGGATCAAGCTTTTTGCGGCACAGACTAGGAAGGACGGACTGAGCTTTACATTCATCGAGTGCAGCCGATCAAACTCCCCTTTCAGAGCTACATATAAATCTTTCACCCACTGCTCCCTCTTTCGTCCACGTCCATTAACAGCCTTATTGTTCTTCCGTTTTCGGCCTTGACTCCCCGTTGACGACAGATTACCAAGCCGACGCCCGGGAGCAGATAGACTGATGTACTTGGATCTGTTTTTCCACCAAAAAAAACCTTGCTGTGGTTAGTTTTGTAGCTGCCCGGGAATATATGAGGGAAATTCCGCAAGGCCATAGCTGGAAGACAGTTTTGCCTTGTTTCATTGGCTTGGGACAGCATCCATTGAATCACAGTTCTGCGCTGGCTGATTGTAGAAACAATATGCTGTTTTCGGCCTTGGGAGACGATATTGGCTGTGTCGGAGACCAGTAAGGCGCTGGATTGGTGATTAGTTTCGGGCGTGGGGCTCGGGGACACTGGGGGTCGTGCTGCTATCGCGGCCGCCAAGGACCGTTCAATGGGTCCCTGGGTTGGCATTGCGGTTGCTGGAGGTGCTCAGGATGTGAACCACTTGAGGGAAGGGGAAAGATCAGTGGTGAAAGAGAGGGGATCGGTGGTAAATGGAAAGGAAAGGTCGATGTGTCGGTATGGGCTGATGGTGATCACCAAATGTGCGATCAAAACATGTGACCAAAAAATATGGACGGGCAAAATTGCACAGTAAGCAATTCCAGGAATGTGTAAACTCACTCTGTATGATCCGATGGCCACGTACCGTGACACAGGGACCCCTATGTGAAACAGGGAGGCGTAGATGATTACAGTACGGTATCATGAATCTGGGGGTCCTGAACAGTAAATACAGAGTAAAGTCCTTCTCGACTGACGGCCTCAAGTAATGACAGTCCCTGTTCTTGTGACAGATATGCCGTCTCAAGGCGAACCCCCTCCTCATATGGCCCCCTAATGGCCGATTCTCCCCAGAATAATGACACGCTCGCCTACAGTGACAAACTCTGTATAGTGACAAATATATTGGACTTGTAACTGTTCATGTGATAGATTTTTCTTTATTTTTGAGACTCTTTGCGCGAAAATTATTGGGTGATTTTTTTCTGGAGTGAGTTTCGGCTCCTGTACAGTCCAGTTTGGGCAAGTTCAACCCTGAGAAGCTGCAGCATCTCCCGAGAACGAGAGCTGTTAATCGCTGGATGGCTCTCAGCGAGCAGCACCTCAGTCTCACAAATAAGAGCACGTGCTGATGCTTGCCAACGACCCACAGAGTCTTTCGGGGGTGCCTCAATGGCATCGGCATCCTCATCCTCCGCTCCCTCGGCAGAATTATCACTGTCCAACACACACGACACCACATCGTGAATAGAATTACCCTCAATCGGATGGCTTGTATCCTCCTCTTGTTCCGCATTAAAAAAAGAACTGAGTTCAGAAACGTCTAAGTTATCAATAACGGAGCAATTCTCGAGCCCCCTGAGATCATCAGCCAAGTGCTCCATAACAACATCGAGCCATTCAGGTTGCGTTATGTTATGGTTTGTACAGTCAACATCACTTTGTACAGTAGTGTTCTCAAGATATTTAAGATAGTCAGCGCCCTGAAGCTTTGCTTCCCGTGACCGATGCTCAGATATTGTGCTCTGTATTTGTAACGGTGTTCCACTGTGTGGCAGCTTGGCACTCTTCCCACAATCTGTGGCAGACAATAAAGCAGCACGGAGCTCTCTGTCTTGATAAGGTGCCAGTATGTCACAACTCAGCCAACCATTAATAACCACCTTTGTCGGCACGAGGTTCCACGCTGTTGCCATCATAAACACCGCATCATAAATTGTCACAGCTTTTGACAGCTTAAATGACTCTCGACACTCAGGGGGTTTCGCCATCTGTATATTGACATACTCCAGTACGTGATTAACCAACAACCTCCTAAATGCCGCTTTAAAAGATCTTCCAATGGAGGCGTCTACAGGCTGTACCACAGATGTGAGGTTGGGTGGCAGAAACTGGGTCTTGACATTTTTTAAGCTGCTGTAATCAATAGCATGCGCTGAGCAGTTGTCCACCAGATGTAAAACTTTTCGACCTTGACTGGCAGCTGCTTTATCTAGTGCAGTGACCTGTTTCTCCCAAAGATATTGTGTATTCCAAGCATGACCTTGATTATAATAGTATATTCCCAAATCTCGCGTTGGGTCGAAACGCTTAGGAAATGATTTAGGCCTCTTTGACTTTCCTATTATAACCAAATGTGCTTTAACTCCATCTGCAAATACAGTGAGAACAGCTGTGAGCCTATCCTTGATTCTTGTGTAGGAGGATGCTCGATTTGTAGTACCCACTGTACGTGAAGGGAATGAGCGATACAGTACGGCTACCTCATCTGTATTCATGAGATCTGTCGGGCTTGTTGCGCAAACTAATCGGCGCAACCTTGATCTGGCATCCTCTACGAATTTGGCCTCATGCATGCCGTTCTGTCCTCGAGGTTTAAAACTTGCCAGGTGGTTCCGATCCATAAAGTTATGACACCAATGCTTGCTACCTTTAAATGCTTTCAAAGAGAACATTCTATCCTCCAAAAGAGCTCTTTCTGGTTGGCTCTCGTTAGTTACCAATTTAGTTACCATCTCGTCTCGGATCTCGAAGGCAATCTTTCCTATGACATATTCTCTAAAGATAGACTCACCTCGTAAGTAGTTAATCCTGCTTCGGATGTAAGTATTCACTGCTTGATCTAGTTCTGGGTGGTCGCATTTTCTAATTGTTTTCCGTTTCTTGTTGCTTTTTAGTGACTCATCAGTCTGCATAATGGCAGGGGCGTTTCTTTTCCAGTTGTACACAGCAGTCCTTTGGACGTGCAGAAATTCTGCTATTGACTTCACGGTATATGGCTGTAGGTTTTTTGGGTTGAGGTAAGGTCGTCCGAAGGTTCCATCGTCACGTGCGCCGAGGAGGCGCAAGGCCTCCTTCTTCGTGGTAAGGAGAGTGTGACTTCGCTTTCTGGCTTGATTCGTTGGTTCTGCCATCGACATCATACCAGAGGGGGCGTGCTTTGAGGGGTTCAGAGGGGATGGGGGCGTGACGGAACAGGAAGGAAGGTCTCGGGACTCGAAGGGCACCTCGCATAGAACTTTGCGCTGGTGAGGTGTTTACGTTGCATGTTGGTATATTGCGATACAATCGATGTATCGTTTGGGGACGGAGTCAGGTACAGCGTGCATGAACTGCTTACATGAGCATTACAGAGAATACTCGCTACAGTGACATTCCCTCTGTAGTGACAAAAACGCCCCAATTGGTGGAACCCCTTTTTTGTCACTGGAAAGGGACTTTACTCTATAGTCCGGACCGGACAAATTTTGAACCAAAACTAATTAGGGTATCACGACTAATTACCGTGATCAGGTGTACTGAAATTCAGAAATTGAACAGCAAGGCAACAGTACGGGGGCTCTCGAACCAAAATTGTCATCACGTCATGTTGGCAAAACGCTTGTTCTTTCCGGAAAGAGAAATCTGACCAAGTTTACTGAGGAAAGGAACGACAGCGGCGCTAGCTACGGTGTTGGAGCTGTGTACACGTGGAACGTACGACAACCCTGAGACGCTGCGCCGCCGCCTCGGATAGCCCTGGGAGGCTGACGGCCTATAGAGGTGTCCCCATCATTCACATTTGAACAGTTAGTCGTGCTCCGTACGTCATCCTGAGAAGCGTTATCCTGAGAAGCATTGAAGCGAGGTTGCTGTCGTATTTTCCCCAAACAGCTTCATTTTTGGATATTGCAGTAGGCCCTACGAAGTTTCGTCTTTCGTCGCCATCTGCATTCCGGGGACGACTTTTGGCAGGACAACTGCCACAACCTTTGCGCGTCCTTTTCCGTTTGAACACTCAAGAACGGAGCGCAATTCAGAGTGCACTCAGACAAAAACAACGCACACGGCATCGTGCACAAGACTACGCCAACCGAAAAGAAAAACGCTATGCAGAGCACAGCTCAAAACGCGGCGTCTTCCCTCGATCCGTCCCAAGTCGTTTCCAGTGCCATTAGATCAGTCTTTGAGCGCTGGACTGCGTTAAGACTCATCGTAGAGCATCAATTGGGTGGTTCCACCCGGGAAGCTGATGAGCTTTTAAGCCAAACTGTAGCGATGGTAACGACTACGGCAAAGAAGTACGATATTGATGACTTCGTCGACTTTTTCTATCACACATTCGACAGGTTGCAAAGTGACATTGAAGACGGAAGCCCAGAAGACGTTGCCGAAGTCATTGTGAGAATAAGGGACGCCGCGGCAAGGGGGAATTTGACGCCAGCCCTGGAGGCGACAACAAAGCCGAGGACAAGAGCTCAAGGTTTTGCCTTGAGCGTGGATGGTGGACAAGGGGCTAACGATGCAGGAAATGATCAAAACGCAATGCAGGACATCTCTCAACACCGGCCCCCTAGCCCTGTTGCCGACGAAGACGGCTTCATGGAAGTACCATCACGTCGTAGGCATCGATAGTTGTTTCTGTCAGTGTTCTATTCGATGACCTACCCCTTGCGATGTACACCAGTTTGTTTTTTTGTTTCGCTCAGGTCCTTTGTTTACGTAGATCTGCTATTTACATCATCTACGCACACGTCTTTCTACACTTCGGTGACAAAGAGCTTACAACTCCTCCTTATCTGCCTCTTCTTCATCCTTGCTCTCTTCGTCGCTCTCCTTCTTCTCTGGCATTTCAATGCCCTCCTTGTGTGTCGCATTTTCCTTGAAGTACTTGATGAAGTCTTCCTTTGTTCGACCGCCATCGTACGGCTTTCCCTTTGTTGATCCGGCCGGGAAGAAGTGCAGGGTCGGGTAGCCCTGAGCCTTGTAGTCTACTGGGGCATCGTTCTTGGTAGCATCCATCTTTGCAATGACAAGAGTTTCGATACCCTTCAGATCAGTGGCAAGCTCGTCGAGAATAGGAGCAAGCTTCTTGCAGTGGCCGCACCACGGGGCATACTGTTCGATGAGGACATCTTTCGAGTCGTCCTCGACAACATCAGCCCATGACTCACCGACGACGATCTTGACGGGTTCATCGTTCTTCTCAGGGACGGGCTCCGACTTGGTAGTCGGGGTAATCTTTCCATCTACAAATGCCTGCACCCACTTGCCAAGCGACTCCGGGCTGTACTCGTCTTCATATAAATACTTGACATCACCCTTGAATAGATAAATGGCAATGGCAGGCGACTTGTCTTCGACACCAACATGTTTAGCAAAGCTCTCGAGACCGATGCTGTTAATCCATGTAAAGGCGATGGCACCCGAAGCGCGATGCTTCTTGGCGACTTCAGAGACGGCTTCATTGACCTTCTCGTCTTTCTTGTCTGGGTCTTGGAAGAGGATAAAGATCGGCTTCTCGAGTTCGGTGTAGAGGGAGGCATTATCACGGCTGAGTTCGGCGAAGAGCGGAAGGGCACTGACCTTGGCCCATGCTTCGAGCTCTTCTCCCTTTCCGGTGAAGACGTCAGTCGACTCATCATCGCGGACGATGAGAACGGAATCCGCAGCAAGCTTGTCGGAGTACTTCTTCAACAAGGAAGAGTCCTTAACCGAGCCAAAGGCGATGGCGTCCGGCATGACATCGCGAAGACCCATGCTGACCTTGGTGTAATCCGAAGCCAACTTGTCGAGAGCGATACCAAAGACGATCGCCTTTCCAGAGTTGTCTTTCGCGAAAGCAGCGACGGCATCAGCGTCGGCACATTCTGTGACACTTGGGAGAAGCGCGCGCTCAATGTACTGGATCAGGGCATCCTTCGTGCGGCCACCCTTGTAGTCAGACACAACCTCTCCCTTAGAAAATAGCTTTAGGGTGGGGAAACCCTGGATGCCGTACTTCTGTGCAAGGTCCTTCTCGACGGTGGCGTCGAGATCAACGAGGACGGCCTTGCCCTTGAGCTCGGTGGCAGCCTCTTTGAAATCGCCGGCCATCTTCTTACAATGACCGCACCAGGGCGCGTAAAACTTGACTAGGGTGAGCTCATCCTTTCCGACGAGATCGTCAAAGTTGTCCTTGGTACCGACGATGACATCCTCGCCAGCCTGGACAGCCACAAGGCAGACGGTGAAGAAGGCAAGAGAGAGAGCGCGAATCATGATGGAGGTCTGGAACAGAGGAATGAACCCAAGAGTGGGTTTTGGATGTGGAGGAAGAGTTGATGTTGGGGAAAAAACTACCAGCGGCTTGTAAGACGAGGGCTTTAAACGGATGTAAAGTTGGGTATCGATGACAACAGAAAGTGAGGAGGAACGAGCGAATGGGCGCGTGGAACGAATGCGGTTGCGGGGTTGCAGAGCGGGCAACCGACGGATAGCCAGCGGATGTGTTGCCGACCCGTAGTCTTGTCAGGCGGTGATTGGCAAGCATCCATAGCCTCCTTTGACCGGCTACTAGTGAGAAGCAACCAGTTCAACCAATGAGAGAGGTTTCGGAAACTTGGCACCATACCAGTGGCCCGAATGCTGAATAATGACTGAAGGGATCACGTCGACACGTGTACAGCCACTTTTCTCGGATCAGCACGGTATCGGCTTGTCCAATGGATCCACTCCCAGTGATGCAGAAGACAGGGAATTCAATGCAGAGGCTCCACAGAAATTTTTTTGTTTACTTGGCGCCCGTTGCGGTGCATCGCCCTCGCATTTTTTGACAGAGAGCATAGCCTCTGATATTTTCGCAATCGTCGTGACCATCAATCATAAAGACCAGCTCAATGCCTCATTGGCTTTCTTCCTCTGCTCTCAGTCAACATACATCACCTGGCAGTCAACATCTCACAGAATATGTCCAGCAGGGCCGATCCGGACTCAGTAACCGTAATACTGTACAGTGATGTGCTGTACGAGTACTGCGCTGTACTTTGCAGTACAGCAAGGTCATTTTCGCGATGAGCATATCTTACAGTATGGACTCTTCGTTCAAGCGTCAACAGCTTACGTTTCCAGGTCAAACCTTATTCCGCACCTCCACCCACCGCTCTACATCAGTCCCTACCAAGGTGCAGACCACGGTCCCCCCAGATACGTGCTAATGCTCCCCCAGCCTACTGATATCGGAATGTCCGCTCTCGCTCCTCCGTTCCCCACCGCCACGCAGCAGCCTTGCCCCCCGACACTCCACCCGTGTGTGAGGAATGCGCTAAATGTGTGCGCCTACCGCTCAGGGGCCATGGCCAGTGGGCCCCCGCCCCCGCCCTTTGCACCGTCCACCCCATGCCACGGCACACCAACACCCGTTCTCCGACGCCGTGCATCCCATACTCCGCTGCCCCCTCGCCCCGTGCATGACGTCTGAGTCCAACCCCTCTCTGCGTCCCTCCCATGCCCCCCTGTCGCGGATAACGCCTCCTCGCCCATCCACTCACCACCCCTACAGCCCCGTACCTTCACGGCTCTACACAACTTTCATCTCCTTCGAGAAGCTCGTGGGAACTTGTCAAACAGACCCCGCCCTCCGGTGTACTGATCGCAGGACGGAACTCCTACTAAATTTATATAATGTTAAGGAGATATTTGAGCTCCAGTCAAGTGACGCATGTGAGGCAACTTTTTAACTTATTTTCGACTTGTGCCCTCTCGGTAAAAAGAAGACAGATACCCTCGCCAACGCTCATGCCTTTTACATTGCGAAAAAGTACGTTCTGCATGAGAACTGCATCTACTTTCCCAGTTTCTTCATAAATATTTGACAGAGAAGCCTCCTTAAGCAACCTTGAGACGGTTTGCGCTAGAAGTGGTAATCGTCTGAATTAGCGAGGCTGACATAAGCACCCCTTTTGACCATCTGAGGCCTAGTTTCGCTGAGCTCGCATTGGAGGGCTAGGGTGAGTGTCGGACAACTTACTACAGAGGGATGCAATAGCGGTTGTAAGGGAGAGCACAGGACAAACGCGGCGCGACGTGCGATGGGGAAGCATAGGACAATGTGGCACGGGGTGCAGTGGTCGGAGGACGAGTCACACGGGGGGCAGGGACCGGAGAGACGGAACGCAGTTGTGTGGTTTGTCGGGATGGTTTTATTTTGTTGCTGGTAAGTTGGTTTTGCTGAGCATGGGGACCATCTCCTCCCTGAACTTTTGTTTTGTTCTGGCTAGGCAATTAGACTAGACAATTACTAAATAAAACTACAATGAGTCCGTTTTGTAATAAGAAGAAGTTTGCTAACTGGGCAGCTATTCAAACGTACTACAGTATACAAATAGTACTGTAACAAGATAGTTTCTAAATCTTTTTCTGAAGGTAGCACGTTATGCTGTACCGTTGGTACTGTAGATGGATTGGATACACTTGTCATATTAATTGGAATTTTCGGGCGGTCTTGTGAAGGTATTTAATAGGCAGTAGCTCAGTGCACTATTTAGCCGTTTTGGACGTTTAATTTAATTTAAACTGTGTTTTGGTGGTCCTGTAGGCAAGCGGATTGTTTACAAGGAACCTGGGAAGTGCCCCATTCGTTGCTGTTGATGAGCGTACCTACAGTACCCTTGGTACCCTTGGTACCCTTAAGGGTACTGCAGTTCGCGCAGTGTACAGTATTTCAAATTCGCGCACTGCAGAGTAGGCCCTTATCATTTGAGCGAAGCTCGAAGCGCCATCCTGTTGCCTCCCAAAATCATAAACGCACAATACATTTTAATATATTAAATTGCGCCACTTGAGTGCGCCTCTTTTTGCGGGCAAGGGCGTCTTGGAGAGACTGCATGAGGCATCGGTAGGATGGAGAGGCATCGGTAGGATGGACAGATCCACATCCCAACAGCCTCCATGCAAACCACCATGATTGGCCACACGTTTCAAAGGTCATGCCTCTTCTCTCCATTGGCTGCTCATCTCCCCAGTGGGTCTTTGACAGGGCCCGACGGTCAAGTGTCTGAGCAGTGTCGCCAGGCGCGGGCCAATTGGAGTGCAGTGGAGATGCCCGAAATAATCTGAAAGACACAACCCCTTGCTGAATTGGCCAGGCCAAAAAATAACATTCAGAAAACAAGCTTGTCGAACAACACGGAAAAACAGGGCCAGAATCCATGCGAGCCTGCTAAAATGTTAGAACAGGCGGAGTCTATTGGGTGCTGGTTGGCTACAGATCGTCTGATGTCCTTCTGAGGGCATCTCCACCGCAAGGTCAATTTTATATAAAAACTAACCACGATTTAGAGCAGCGGTGGTGATGCCCTGAAGGTTGATACTGAAGGGTAGCTAGCCACTGTATGTTATTGCAGTACATGTGCACGGGCTCTGCCCCCGCTGCTACAACAACGCACCCTTCTATGCCTTCTGGCTCAAGCTCAACCTACAAGTCCGACACAATCCTTGCGCTGACTGGTCACCGCCGCCCCCTCTCTACAGCACTCCCACCCTTTATAAAACATCCTTCACAATCAACTGGATTTCGTAACTCTAACCCATCCCCATCATTTGCTTTCCTGAAGCACCATGGCTGACATCACGGCCTCGCCCTCGGCCTCCTCCGCCTCGACCGAGCTGATGCACAAGGGCTGCAACATTGGCTTTGATGCGCTTGAAGCCAATCGCGCCCTGAACAGAGTCGAGGACAGCGTCACCGCCAGAGAGGCCGCGGTTCCCGTCGATCTCGTGTGGCGCGACCTCACGTTCGATGTACCCCTTCCCGTCACCAGGAGGAGGAGGAAGGGCGCTGCTCCACACGAGGAGCTTGCTCCCACTACCACCTCCACTGGTCGCGAGCCCACACCGATTAAGCAGGGGCTCAAACGCGTCCTGCACGGCCTCAGCGGACAAGTCCGCACGGGACAGGTACTCGCCATCATGGGCGCCTCCGGAAGCGGGAAGACCACACTGCTAAATTTGCTTTCTGGTCGCATGAAGTCGAGTACCAAGTGTGTGTCGGGCGGCAAGATTTTCGTGAATGGCCATTCGAGGGATTATGAAACCTTTCCGCAGATTGCAAAGTTTGTCGAACAGGATGATACCACGATGTTTGCGGAACTCACCGTACGCGAGCAGATTCTCTTCGCAGCCCGCTTGGCCTTGCCCAGCAGCGTGTCGGAGACGCAGAAAGTCGCTCGCGTGGACAAGATTATCCAAGAGCTCGGCTTGACCAAGGCGAAGGACACCTACGTGGGTTCGGAGCTTGTCAGAGGCGTCAGCGGTGGTGAAAGGCGTCGCGCGGCTATCGGTGTCGAGCTGGTCACCGATCCGTCCTTGATTTTCTTGGACGAACCTACGACAGGGCTGGACAGTTTTAATGCGCTTAATGTCATGTCTTCTCTGCGCCAGCTCGCGAAAAACGGACGTACAATCGTTACTACGATTCATCAGCCCAGGTCTAGCATTTTCCATTTATTTGATATGCTCTGTCTTATTGCCGAGGGTCGCACTGTCTACTTTGGCCCTGCCGCTGACGTCGCCGACTACTTCGGAAATCTGGGCTTCCCAATGCCCGTCAGTTTCAACGTCGCTGACTTTGCCATTGATGTTTTGTCCATTGACCCCCGCACGAAAGAGAAGGAAGTCAAGAGCAATGCGCGCGTTCAGTATATTTCTGACCACTATCACGAGAGCGTCGAACCCCAGGTATTGGCACAAGCCCATGATTTTAATGAGAGTGACTCGTTGGGGAAATTTGCAGGCAGCAAGCGCAAGAACTCAAGTTTCAAGGAATTCTGCATTCTCACGCGACGCACTTTGCTTTTGATGTCCAGAGAACGGCAGCTCAACACTATTCGACTCAGTCAGACGCTCTTCTTTGGAATCTTGTTGGGCTTAATCTGGCTAGACACAGGAAGAGAAACGACTGCGGACGATCGCCGAGCCGTGCAGGGTGTTATTTTCTTCATTGTTATCAATCAGTAAGTTTGAATCCCCTCTTTTCTGTTGACTGCAGTGCGTTTGTGTCTGTCTGTGGAATGGAGTTAAGAAGTGGATTTGCGGTGCTGACTTCTACTTTTCTTTCCGTTCTGGTACATTTCTTGGAACTAGGTGCTTTGATGCTGCGTTTGGGATCATTTTTTCATTTCCTGCCGAGAAGGCAATTATCAATCGTGAGCGCTCAAGCGGTTTCTATCGCGATACATCGTATTTCGTGGGCAAGCAGCTTTGCGAACTTCCTCGAGCTGCGTTCTTCAATATCCTGATGTTAGTCCTTGTATACTTCATGGCCGGACTGAATCCGGATGCGGGTTCATTCTTCACCTTCACGCTTATCTGCATACTTGTCGCACTTTGCGGTGAGGGTCTTGCACAATCGATCTCTGTGTTCGCAGGCGATGAACAGATGGCAGCCGCAGTGGTTCCCGTGGCAGTAATTTTCCAGGTTTTGTTTGGCGGGTTCTTCATCCGTCCAGACGCCCTAGCTGGGTACATAAAGTGGATGCGGTGGCTATCTTTTATTTACTACGCAACCAATGCTGCCAACCAAGTGGAATTTTTCGGTCGTGGAGACGGTAACATAGATGACATTATCATAGAGCAATTGGATTCAAGCTTGTCGAAGTGGACAAACATCGCTGTTGTCGCTGGCTTCGTTGCCGCTTTGAAGTTGACATACCTGGTCACGCTGCATCTAACAAAGCCGAGATTTGATCGTAACTTGTAATTGCTGAAGCTTGTCGCCATCAAAAGGGAGGGTAGCAAGGCTCAAAGAAAAAGCGTGTAATGGAAAAAAACAATTTAAAGACTTGTTATATCCGCTTTTACCGAGCATGCTACATGAGAAGCGTAGGAACCCCAGAAACCGATTAAACTTTTCACAACCCTGGCAGGCGATGGCGTGAATACGGACACATTGCCTAGGACTGCACTTTGCGGGAGTTGTAACCAATGGTACCGAAGATCATGCATGCGAATAACCCGGTGTGCCAAAGGAAGAGAAGAGTCCAGAAGGGGTCGTCACCAGCGGGGCCCTTGGGAAAGTTGGCGAGGTTGGCGTTCATGGAGGCGAAGAAGGCCTGGGTGAGGCCGCTTCCCTCGGTGAGCGGAATGCCAGCTGGGATCGACGAGGGAACGACCCATCCGACGATAGCGAGAATCAGGATGGTCAAGTCCAGCTTGAATTCTACACCCTCCGAGATCTCGAAACCCATGCGTGGGGTGTTAGTAGCGGGGGTGGACGCGCGAAGCACAGCGCGCTGACCTGTGAAGGAGGAAAGGGCAGCTGCGAACAAAGAGAGGGAAAAAGAAGGAACGGAGAAGAAGTCAGAGAACAGCTATGATGTCAGCGCGTGCGAGTTATTAGGCCGCGGGAGTGGGGTATCGACTTACCAGGTCGGACGGTGCATGCCGCTCGGGAGTAACGGACGCTTGATGCCAGGATGGGGGTTGCGGAGATGAACGCCATTTTAAGAAGGATAGAGCTGGGTGGAGCTGGGTGGTAAGGGGCAGGTGCGAAGAAAAAGTTCGGAAGAACGATGAAGGATGACGAAAAGCGAACGTGAAAGAGGCAGGTGAACGTCGAGATGCCAAGCGGGGGTCGTACGATGGCGGGAGTGTGGGGGCACGGTCCAGCACCACGCCAGGAGGCTGCGGCACGAGAGGGGGATGGGAACCCTGAAAATGGCAGAACGGGCTGCGATGGGTGGCCAGAAACGGGGGATTGGCTGGAGATGAGTGGGAGATAATGCGGGAAGCGCCTTGTCGGGAAAAGATCTGATCT